TTTTAGTTATATATATATATTTTTGTATTATTTTATTTTATTTTTATATAATTTTGTTTTATAAAATTTTTTTATAATTATAATTATAATTTTGACAGCTGAGAATTTTAATAGTGAATTAACGATACAATTGAACATCTAGGCTGTCATTGCAGAATAATTAATATTTAATTATTCGAAAGAGGAGAAGAGAGAAAAAAAGAGGAACAACCGAAAACTTTTCCTTTTTTTTTACTTTATTCATTTTTTAATTTAAACATTTTTTTTGTATATTAATTAATAAATAAGAGATACTCTAGCAAAGATATATCGCCTACCAATATTTTTCTCTGTCAATTCAAATTGAAATAAATTTTTGTTTAGATTTTTCTTCTTCATATATTGTTTTATATTAATTGTAAGTCAAAGTGTTTCTATAAATATAATTTATACTTATTTGATTTAATAATAAATTATAAATTTCATATATGAAATATGCATTCTCATCAGGATTTAGAAAAACTGGCTATGAAAAAAAATATATAAGATGATATTTCCTTCAGTAACAACTAGATCTTATTGAGAGAAAGTAGAATGATTTAATTTTATGCTATCGGTTTTATTTAATTCGAGGTGACTTCGAATGAGTATCAATATATTTTTTTTTTTTTCAAGAGAGAGTTTCTTGCACAAAAGAAGACACTCATCAATCATAAATTTACTAGAAAGTTATAACACGTTTTCATATAATTGTTGCAAAGAAATAGAGCGACGTACTATAAAAACTGGAGTTAATAACCGATTTTCGCTTTACTTATATTTGCTCATCCTTTATTAAGGGGATCCTAAACATCCTTGAGAAGTCTGTTGTTTGTTTCCTGTTTAATCGACAAAATGTGAAGTTAGATAAACTATAAATCTATTTATTGACTATACGGATTGTTTTTACCTGAAATTGGACCAGACCGGATTTGGCATTGGATAAAGGAATATAAGTGAATGTTTAGATACTAATTTGGAAGCCTAGTAAACGAGAATAACTCATCCTACATTTTCGTGCACGTGAAATTGATATCTATACTAATTTGGAAGCCTAGTAAACGAAAATAACTCATCCTACATTTTTGTGCACGTGAAATTGATATCTAAACATTCACTTATATTCCTTTATTCAATGCCAAATCCGGCCTGGTCTAATTTCAGGTAAAAAACAATCCGTGTAGCCAATAATTAGGTGTATAGTTTATCTAACCTCATATTTTGTCGATAAAACAAGAAGAAAACAACAGATTTTTCAATGACGTTTAGAATCCCCTTAAAATATACAAAAAAGCCGATCTGCGTGGATAGAGTCCATGGAAATGCGATCGAGCACTCCGATAGGGCTTCGGGTAAACGATACACCTGTCGTTTTAGGTGTTTCATCAGGAAGAAAGGCTCGTTCGGTTAGATCGATTTGCAATGGCGTGCGACTATATACAGTTATACCGTAATATCGGCATTTGATTATGTCCGAGGCCGCTACTTTGCAGCCTCAGCTTATCCGCCAACATCTTAAAGACACCGGCACATATTATACCTCATCTATCTAGGACATTCTTGTCCGCCATATGACGCGCGCGCGAGGATAGAGCCGTCAACATCGCGTTTCTTTTTTAGTTTTATTTTAAACGTGATGTACCAGGACTTGAAAAAAATTAATATTAAGCGTCGCGTCTTTAATCATCCAACTAACGGATCCACGTTTTTTCCTCTCTTTTCCTGTCTTTTCCTCTACCTCTCTTTATGATCGATTATCTGCATCGTGTACGTCGTTTGTAATCGGGGAGAAAATATATCTTTAATTTCGGAATTGCCGCATGAGATGCAAATTGTTTTTTTTTTGTTCTCACGGTTATGTATGTATGTCGAATCTTTGAGATGCAATATTTCATATACAATATACAAAGCGAGAATCACTGTAAATTATTATTATTCTTATATAATAAAATTTAAAATATGACTTTATAAAAAAATATATAAAATACAAAATTTAATATAATATTATATATATGTATATAATAAAAAAATATATAGAAAAATATAGAAAATAAAATTTGATTTGTGGACAGAAGGATATTCTGCAATTACAACTTTGTTTCAGATAAGCATGCTTTCGAAATACTTTTAAATTTTATTTTTGTTTTTTTCTTTAATTTAATTTTTTTACATAAGAGTCTATTTTTCTGATTATTTTATACACGAAGATACTCAAATACTAAAATCATGCAAATTTATGAAATATTCTTATTTTGAATTTATTTTGACATGATTTTTATTGTAATGAATCTTGTAATATAAAGTTTTCGATCATTTTTTTGTAGAGACTAATTAAATTAATTAATTGATAAAAAAATATATATAATTGTATATAAAAAAATGTGCAATTGCATTTCGCATGTAAAGATAGAGCTATCAATAAATGCTATTCATTTGTGTTATGTGAAAAATTTAACAAATATTTTAGTGGAAGAGTCAGTATATTTTGTAAGGTATTGCATATTTTATTTTATAATATATCACAATAAATTATAAAATGTCGTAAAAATGATTGATTTTATTTAACTACTTTTATATGTAGAATAATAAAAAGATTTTATTTATACCAAAAAAATTTCTGTCAAAAACTATATTTTAGGATAATTGCCAGCAAAATTAAGTACAAAACAAGCTCACATATCGCGCAATTTATCTTTGTCAATTAAATTATTTCACTTGTTCAATTATTTGAATATCGTTCTCATTTCTCGATTGCGTGAAAAATGGAAAAAACCTCACCAATGTGTTCATTCAACACATAAATTAGAGAAGATTGGATTTGAAGGATTGGATGTCGCTTTGTGTTCGATCGTTAAATTTACGAGCTTTATTCGCGTCAAAAGCTGCTATTCCAATTCAGTCATTATTGCCGCAGTCAATCAATTAGCTATCTTGAAATCATTATGATTGTAAGCGCTATTAATCAATATATATAGATAAACGTGCCTCGAGCGCTTTGGCGCGAGACAAACATCATCGATCTTCTGTCTGGCAGTATAAAACATTGGGAGAGGAAACGTCTAACGATAATGCGCGATTTTTAATCATCTTTGAAGTTAACAGACGTGCGTATAGTTATAGCATTTTCAGTGCAATTTTCGCTATTCTATATAAATCTCCCTTATTTAGAGAAATAATTATGTATTTTTCAAGATATTTAATTTATCGAATTATTATTTGCGGTTAAATAAATTATTTAAAAACATTGTTTTTTTTAATAATTAATTTTTTTTAATTAATTATTTTTTAAAAATTAATGAAGTAGTTTTCGCAATTCTGTAATTTTCTTTAATGATACCTATCTTTTTTAAGATATTTATAATTTTCTGCTTCAAGTGTATAAATGCAAAATGCGAATTATTTGCAATTGATTGGAATATTTTTTCGCTCAACAGCTATTTTTTATCATTTTTTAAAAAATTGTTTGCTAAATAAATAAGCATCTGTCTTGCTTGTACATTGGTTCATTTACCTATTTTTATTTATTTAATGAACAACTCTTGCGTGATTTTTTTTTGTATATATCATCCCTAATATAACTCAAATTTAAAAATTACTATATCAACAAAATGTGGAAATTTAAATTAGCGCAACGTCGGTGGATTCTTTTTTAACACTTTTATTTCATTTATACTCTGAGTCTTCTTGCAAGATAAATATCTTATAACCTTTCGTCATTAGTTCCACCTGGAAAGCACGAACAGCGAGCGTATATTTTAATCATTCGCAAATAATTCATATCCCGGCTCTCTTCCGTGTGTTTCTCGTGTGTATAATCAGAAAATTCACTGTTCTTTGAGAATGTGAAATAACTCATGTTATAAATATAACTAGTAATCACTTCTTCCAGAACTCTTACAGATATAATAATTTTATACTCAACCATGTGATATACAAGATGCGAAATTAGTGGTATAATCGGAAAAAGTAATGATATTGCAAGAAAAAAATAAGACATTTATATTTTTTTTCAATACATGGATTTATTTGCGATAAAATTGGCTTTGACATTCAGTAAATTAATGACATAACATTTTTAAGTTTTGAAAGACCTCTGAAGATTTTATATTATTTTTTTCGATAATAATTATAATATCTAACAAAAAATTGTTTCTGTTAAATAATAATTTATACATAATTTTTTGTCTTTCATTTTCTCTTTAATTTAATTTAAATTATTTAAAATTATTTTATTATACATATTTTTAAGTTAAAAAATATATTATAAATTTCAAAATCAATTATCTCGGAAATAGAGCCTCGTATAAAAAAATGTTATTTAAGTATATTTTCGACTTATTTTTTTAGGTACAATTTAAATTATTAACAATTCAATTATACCACCAGTTATAAAACATCTCGTACACAATATGCATGCGTGCATAGCATAGTCACTTCCTTTATTAATAAACATTCGTACAGTGATTTGATTAAAATTGAAATCACTTTAATTTCCCTCATTTGTAACCTTTACATCTCTTTTATATTTTTAATTAAAAAAGTAATCTTTTAATTGATTTTTGATCTTGGAACATTTAAGAGATTTTATGATATAGATCAGATAAATTAACGGGGGGAAAAGTCAAGACAATCATCTAATTATCGGCCAAATATTTAAGACTGAAGATGAAGTATAGAATATTTTTTAGTTAACTATTTAAAATTTAGATTTAAATAGTTAACTATTTAAATTTAAATTTTTTATCTTAATAAATATTTAATATCAAATAACACATTTGAAATTATAATTAAAGATATAATTATAATTAATATTAATATTAATATTAATATAATATATTAATATATTAATATGAGAACATTAATATGAAAAATGTCAAAATTTAAAAATATATCAGATTTTTATATACATGTAAAAGTTTCTTGTCGGACTATGTTATTCATTAATAAACGATAAATAAGAATAGTTTTTCATAAGCACTAACCTGGGAAAAGCAAGCCTGAGGTCGGTCCTGAGTTTGTTCAACAGCTCGCTGACCGATGTAAATTGTCTCAAGGTCATTTCGCCACTTCCGGATGCGTAACCGGAACTCGAACTGGTTGTCGACGGCAGGGTACCTTGAGAATCTTGAACTATTCCTAATGGGCGTCTTCCCCATCGTCTCAGGGCGATTGCATAATCTTCAGCGTTGTACGTAGGTGGTCTTAAACGCTCCTAAGAACAGATTCAGATCATTTATAAATACAAAACGAATATGTCTAATATTTTTTTACGCTACGAAAATATATTCATCTATATGATTAACGATATTTTTTCCAATCATACCCACACAGATATAAAAATATATAATATATAAAAATTATATTTTTGTATAATATTTTTTATATTATACATTTTATACAATATTTAATATAATATACATTTTTATTATATAATATAGTTTTATATATTATATAATATATAATATATAATATATAAAAATATATTATATAATAAAAATGTATATTATATTAAATCTTATATAAAATGTCTAATATAAAAAATCTAATTTTCCTCTAATTGAAATTAAAAAATATAATTAATATAATAAAATCTAATTAAAATTATATTATCTAAAAATATACATATATTTTTATCTAGAAAATTATAAAATAATAATATTTTAATACTAATAGTAATTAATTTTTATCTGTATAATAAATATATCTATGACGAAAACTTTTCTTCTAAAATCGTTAAATAATGAAAAAAATGGAATGGAATAATCGCCTTAGGATTGATTTATTAATTTGCTTAAAATTATAATAGAACAAAGGAGTAAAGAAGCCTTGTATGCTTTGAGTGAATCATGAAGAAGGTGCAATATATTCATGTTGAAAGGTAAGAAGATATCTGCAGTTAATTTCATGACGCTTCCGATCATAAATCGATAGGGTAATAGTAGTAGTTTTTTTTTTAAGAAACTAAGATGATAAATGCCGTGATAAATTTAAGAAGTTACACAATCATTGTATAGTTTGAAATCTGTTGATTTAGATAAACTTTTGTAATCAAGCGGAAGAGCGCAATTCCACTTTCTCCGTTATTGTCTAATAAATGCGCGAACACGATAGATAAATTTATCTATCGTGTAACAATGCGTTAATTTGTATTAATATTACAGGATCTATAATGCATGCTATAATTGCATAAATTTGTATAAATAATATACTTGTCCCTCAAAGACTCGATGGCCATGATAAAAAAATACACGAGAGGTCTTTTTCCCCTTTCGTGAGTCTCTCATCAGCGATGTTTCCTCGCTGGCACACGCAAACAAATTACGTAAAATTTGTTATTTACTTTCATGCTTGTAGTTTACGTAGAAATGTATAAATTACGAAGCGATCCACTATTAATGTACACGCGGAAGTAGTATTTATTCAAATGAGTTAATTACTTTCGGACTCCCGTTCCTGAAGTACGGTTCTCTTCTCTTTCGATATAATATAGATTTATTAAACCAGCAGAATGGTTGGGCGATGTTTGGAAAATTCGTAAGAGCCAGAAATCGCTGGAGAACGCATTTAAAAAAAAATTTAATTACAAAAATTATATGCGATTTTGATATATTAGATATATTTTGTTTATATATTCGCGGTCTTATTAAAAAGAAATTGTAGAAAGTGGCAGAAGAGTTTTAGTTTTGAATCCAACCCTATAATTCGCGAAAAGAAATAAACAGGAAATATAAGAAAATTCTACGATGTTGTCGAGTTTCTGGTTTGCGATCGCGTGTTTCTTGTGTCATATTTTATCGGCAGAATCGTTCTGCAATCATAACACGAGTCAAACTATTGGATATGACCACAAAATACACAAAAAAGATTTTTAAGTGCGAGAGAAAAGAACTGATACTCGAAGATTTCAGGAACATATTTAAATAAATTTTACGGTGCAAGGATAATTAATAATCACAATTAATTTCGTAATAATAAGGTAAATATGTTAGTCCTTCAGCAAGATTAATTCCTAAACAAAAATACGTATTATTATTAAGTTTTTTTTAATTCAATTCAATCTTATAAAATATAAATTTATAAAATAAAGCTATACATATTTAAATTTTAGCAAGAAATATATTTTACACGTTAATCATAATTTTCTCAAAAAAATCTTTCTCAATATTATTTCAAACAAAAAAAAATGTTGAGGAATTTTTTTTTAGAAAATACGATTAATAAATTTCATGTAGGTATAAAACGTTTTCTCGACAAAATCTAGATATTTCGCTTTATTTTATGTTTGAATTTTTTCACATATTTATGAATTAAAAGAAGTTTTAATATTAAAAAAAAAACATTTTTGTTTAAAGATCAGTTTTAGGAACTTATATATGTTTATACCTTAAGTGTTGTGTTATTGTTATAAGTATTAGAAACATCGTCGTTATGATTAGATACGACGTTGATTGTTTTTACTTTGTCTTTATGAAGTATTACAATGATAAAAGATAAGATTTTACAATTGTGATTTTATCGGTTATTAACCCTTCTATCAATGAACGTGTACCTATTTTTAAATGTTAAAAATATATCAGAATTTTTTTGCCCAAAGGACCTTTGTATTTGAGAACCTAAATATATAAAGCGAAAGAATTATTAAATTAATAAATATTTATTTCAATACTACCTAATAAATCACTTATTTAAAACAAATAAATATTGATCTGTTTTTGAAAATTATTTTCTTATATCAAATAAATATTTTTCACATCAACTCGATATTATTAGTTTCAAAATGAAATAAATATTTATTCGAATTAAATAAATTTTTTTCAGTATTTTATTATTTGAAAAATTAATTAATAATGATCATCGCAATGACATCTTTTTCATTAAAAAAATTTATTTTTACACTGAAAACTGTTGTTGTCGTATATTCGCGGCGGCCATATTTGTTTTGCTTCAGTAGCGCCTCTCTTACCGCGGTGGACGTTTTTTTCGCCAACAGACCGGAAGAAAGAAATTATTCACAAAACTATCGCGTCTTTTGTCTTGAAAATCGAGAATCTCACGTGTGACTGCAAACTTCACATAAAAACTGCACAATAAATGTTTATAAAATCCAAGAGGCGGTTTCAATAATTATCAAGTTTATTATATATATAGAAAATATACGAATTAAAGTCACTTTACTTGAAATTAACTAAAGAATGTAGTTTTCTTAATTTTTGTATAACAGAGTGTGTCTAATCATAATGACATCTTTTTCATGAAAAAAATTTATTTATACACTTAAAACTGTTGTTGTATATTTGCGGCGGCCATATTTGTTTTGCTTCAGCAGCGCCTCTCTTACCGCGGTGGACGTTTCTTTCGTCAATACTATAAAAAATTGTCGCAGTATTAGATATGTTGAAAACACGCAATTGCTATCCGGATATCCGTACATTGATGAAAAGATGAGAAATTATATATTAACAGAAGGCTTAATTGAAAGAGGGGATTAATTAAAAGAGCCGATCTTTTATTACTTCCGTTTTTTAACGCGCGGTATTAAAAAAAAATGTGAAATTGACATGCGCCATCGCCTACAACTGATGATTTATTGATAAGAACTTTCAATAAGTCATCAATATTTCATGTGCCTTTTTACGAATTCCTTCCGCAATTTAAGTGAAATCGCCGCGCGTTTTTCGCTGACTTTCTCGCAAAACGATGGAGCATCGCGTATGACGCATATTTCAGGTACTCGTCACAGTCGATCTAATTTCCAGATCATCCGCGAACAATTTCCATTTTTATTCGAGCTGATCTTGGTGTAAAACTTTCACGTCCAACGTGAAACGTTAAAGTGAAAACATATATCGTGTGTATTAATTTTTATGCTATATATGCATTAATTTATCAGGCGATAGATTAATTAATTAGATACGATAATAGCCTATTTCCGATTAATCGAATCACTCGGGGATTAATTGCGATGCATCGCTATCATGGTATACATTGATATCTATAAAAGCGTATGTTAATTACATTAAATGGCCATAATATATAAAATATAAATATACATAAAAATATAAAATAAATATTATATATAAATATATTTATACAGGGTGTCCGGTAATGGTCGCCTCAACCGTCGTGTGCAGGTAGAGTAAGTTAAACCGAATAAGAAAGTCCTCTACCGTTTTGCGATTTTCGCAATAATTATTGTGTTATTAAATAAAAAAGATCGGCCAATCTAAGCGCGCGACGAAATGAGACGGTCCCCTGTCACACGATACACGGCGCGCGGCAAAGCGGAGGGAGGAGCGAACGCGATGGCTACGAACGGCGCGTAACGCTAAAGCTCCGCGACAACTATTTTCTCTCTTTCCCTTTTCATCTCACTTTCTTTACTAAAAACGAATCTTTTTATTTTCAAAATGGCATCTTGATTAATTATTGTAAAGTACAGTTTTGAAAAATTAATAATCGCATTGACATCATTTTCGACGATGTATCTCATTAAAATTTAACATGCATACAAAGCAAAATAAGAGTCTGATGCAAATCACACCATACACGGAGAGAATTTTCTCTTATTAGAATTTATCCTGAAAATCATGGTAATCGTGGGATAATATGGTGTAGGAAAAATATTATAAGAGTTTTTTTGATTAATATTTACTACATTAAAAATTATTAATATGAACATAGTAAAATTAATCGAGTACATTTTTTATTTTATTGTGGTAGATATTAATATTTTTATTGTGGTAAATATTAATCAGAAAAATTCTTATAAAATTCTTCCAGTACCTTACTGTCCCACGATTACCATGATTTTCAGGGTAAATTTTAAGAGAAAATTTTTTATGTGTAGTATTCGGATACGTTTTATCAAAATTTACGTTTTTAAAATAATCAATAAATGATAATAACAAGAGAGAGAGAGAGAGAGAGAGAGAGAGAGAGAGAAAGAGAGAGAGAGAGAGAGAGTGAGGAACGTTATTATCATAAATGATAACGTTCCTCACTCACTCACTCACTCTCTCTTTCTCTCTCTCTCCCTCTCTCATTATTATCATTTATTGATTATTTTAAAAAACGTAAAATTTTGATAGGATGTATTCGAATACTACACAGAGAAAATTTTTTCTTAAAATTTACTCTAAAAATGATGGTAATCGTGGGACAATGGTATTGAAAGAATTTTATAAGAATTTTTCTGATTAATATTTACTATAATAAAAATATTATAGAAAAGAAAGTGAGATGAAAAGGGAAAGAGAGAAAATAGTTGTCGCGGAGCTTTAGCGTTACGCGCCGTTCGTAGCCATCGCGTTCGCTCCTCCCTCCGCTTTGCCGCGCGCCGTGTATCGTGTGACAGGGGGCCGTCTCATCTCGTCGCGCGCTTAGATTGGCCGATCTTTTTTATTTAATAACACAATAATTATTGCGAAAATCGCAAAACGGTAGAGGACTTTCCTATTCGGTTTAACTTACTCTACCTGCACACGACGGTTGAGGCGACCATTACCGGACACCCTGTATATAATAATTTTATACAATATTTATTTAAAATGTAAGAATATAAAATCTAAAATAAAAATGTAAAAATATGAAATAAATATAAACATAAATAACAAAAATATTTCTTAAATTTATTATATTATAAGTGTATTATAATAGTCGAAAATGTTGATATAAGAATATTTACGAGACGTTACGCAATGCATCAAGTTGTATGTGCGTACATATATGCCGTTAGCGACAAGGTCAAGGCGGAAAGTGACTTTGCTACTTTAGCAGAAGGTCGTTTCTCTCACAAGTTAATATTCTCTTTCTCTTTCCTGCACGCACATATACATCTGTCAACTAATGTAAGTCGGGGCGATGGTGTTCTCACGGTAAAACCAAAGTAAAACCAGATGATCGGCTGTTCGGCATATCTGTTCTTTCCATCGGAATTTCATCCTATGAATCTAGATTGCCGCGAAGACGCGATTCGAGTTATGTCATAAAGCTTCCTCGCCGTTTACGCGTCAGCTGATCGGCACGCGACGGCAAAATCGCCGTCGTTTATATGTTTTGCACCGTAATTTACTTAACGTCTGTACCAGTGTTGCGCTTAGATGATTTTAAAATTAGCTAGATAAAGCGAAGATGATTTTTTAAAAATATATATAAAATTATATAGCGATTTATCTAGATAACTTGCACATAATATTATATATTATTTTTAAGACCGCTTACAAACATAGTTATAAAAAAATGTAAATTATAAAAGGGATATATATATTAAAATATACTCATATTTTTATTTATAAGGTTTTGCCACTTGGGTATTGCTTAAGGTTTTACTGCTTAAGTATTTCTAAAAAAAAATTAATTTTTATATCATAATATAGAGCAAAAATTCAGCTTTAAGAATCTATTCTTAAAATCGCTGTACAATAATTTTTAAGGGAGTTATAAACGATTAAAGTAAAAATGACATTTTCTCTTTAATTTGCAGTAACTTGATAAGGAAAGATCGAAATTTAAATTTTAAAAAACGATTTTGCAGGGAAAACTTCAGACTTTAACGTGAAAATGTCAAAAGATTTTTCCAAATCTTCTTGTGCATGCGACATGTCTACAAAGTGAGAAAAAATTTTCCATTTTGTTATGTTCGTTGTTTTCTGTATATAAAAAATATCAGAATTGAAGAAAATGAAAAAAGCTACGATCTTTCGAAAGTGGAGGTTTCAACCTTTAAAACCCTTTTTTAAAATTTGAATCATTATTTTTCGAAACAAAGTTACAACTATTTAAAATTTGCCTATTTTTTGGACAATTTTTTGGATATTTTAATTTATATCCTTTTATAATTTACATTTTTTTAAAGGATCACATATAATCCTAAATCAAATTATCTGAACATTATTCTAGATAATTGAGTAAAGATAATACTTTTTTATCTAAAGTATAAATGCAGATGTAGATAATACAGATTTTTATTATCTGTATAAAGATAAGATAAGATAACATTAAAGTATCATCTAGATAATTTTATTTAGATAACAGCAAACACTAATTTCTACTTTACCTTTTCCGGCTGAGGTCCCCATGGTTTCACGACCAGCAGCTCTTCCTCCGCATTGGGCGCCATGTCCGACTCGCTGAAAAAAAAATAGAAAAACACATTAATTAAGGAATAATCGTGAATTTCAGAATTTATTCGATTCGAAGAAGAAACACAGATTTATGTGCGTATGCAATTTTATTCCATCGTCGTTTATTTTTTCAGAGGAAAATTCCGACACATTTTTAACGCTTGAAGTTGCTCTCCGTTCATTGATAGAAGGGTTAAATGACGCGTTGCTTTTCCCGAGAAGTACTTTCGTCGCTTTTTTCTACGATCGATCGCGGAATGTTGTATTTAATTAGCGAATGGCGCACACACATAGCGCTGCGGATCGCGCAGATCTGAGTTGTAGAACGGCTCTACGGAATTTGCTTCGCGGTATTTTCAAACGGTACCTCACTCACGTGATACGTTCCGCCAGAATGAAGGCGATCGCGCGCGTCAGTTCCGAATCTGCGTTTTATTTTATTTTAACTATTTTTAAGTGAACATTTAATTTTTTCTCTCAACCATCTCATCTAATTGCTCCATTGAATCAATGTAATTTAAAAAACAGATAAATATTTATTTGTGTCAAATAAATAATTTATAAGGCAGTATTAAAATATAAATATTTATTATTTTGATAATTTCTTTTAGTATGTATCAAGCTTAGAAAATTATTTAATTATTATTAAAATATTAAAAATTATTGAAAATAAAATATAAAATTATTAGAAATTTGAAAAATAAAATTAATCAAGTCCGATGTAAATTTTGCTTTATCCTTTCTCTACATTGAAAAATTTATTGAATTCCAAAAAATATTTATTTCTACTGATAAAATTCTACTAATAAAAATTATTTGAAACTAATAATATTGATTTGATCTGAAAAATATTTATTTGATTTAAGAAAATCCTTTTTAAAACAGATAAACATTTATTTGTTTCAAATAAATAATTTATAAGGCAATATTGAAATCAAAATATTTATAATTTTTTTTAGTGTATCAAACTTACAAAATTATTATTTAATTATAATTAAAATATTAAAAATTATTGAAAATAAAATATAAAATTATTAGAAATTTGAAAAATAAAATTAATCAAGTCCGATGTAAATTTTGCTTTATCCTTTTTCTGGCGCTATCAAATTTGCAAAATTATTTTCTTAAAAATTATTAAAATGATTATATCATATAATATATTAAATTAATAAAATTATAAAAAATTCGATAAATAAAATTAATGCAATGAAAGCGGAAGACTTTGAAATATCTAGTAAATGTTGACCGAGATAATATTTAATTAATTTCATTTATAAATATTAATATGTAATGTAAATTTCTTTATCCTTTCTCTGTGGAAAAAATATATACATTCACCCGACTCTATCAAACTTTTAAAATTATTATTGAATTAATAAAATTGTAAAAAATTCGACAAATGAAATTAATTCGATGAACGCGCGAAATTCGAACTGCGATAATCGACATTTCACGCGAATGCGATATCGATGATTCACGAAGTATAAATCTTGCGAAAGAATCCTGGCAATCAAAATTGCATTAACGCAAAGATTATTTCGGTTATCTCGATTTCACACTCGCGCACTTGCCTGCCCCGTAAAATGCAGCTAATATCTTATCCGTCGAGATAAGGAACTCTTCTCGCGAACGCTGACATTTCACGGTCCGCGAGTAACGTAATGATTCCGCTAGATCGGAGGATAGGATGCTACGAGAGGACACGGATCATGGATGCTTAGTTTTGTAGGTTAACCGCGATGCAATAATGGAAGTCACGATGATCGTGCCGCGATCACGATGGATATATCGATCGCGCGTCGATGATTCGATGATCCGAGTAAATAAAAAATTGCAGTACTACAGTAAGGCGGACTTGTCTTCTTTATGATAATAGCGTCATTATTATAATTAATATATTTTATTAGACTATATTAAATATTTTATGAAATTTTTATTTAAACTATTTTTACTTGAATTATTTTTTAGACTATTAAATATTTTATTAAATTGCGTTGACAGACTTTTTTTTCTAATCATAGATGTTTCATCGCGTGTGAGTGTAAGATAGTAGATATAGAGTAATTTAAAAACAGAGAATTAATTTAGAACAATGAAATTGTTACGATTGTCTTATTAATCATTTACTTTATTTGTTTATCAGCTAAGTACTCGTTCATCAATTTTTTTGTAGATGATCGATTTTATGTCTTAATGTATTGTGACATGAAAAGTTGATTATTTCAAAATTTCCATTTAATTATACACTGAAAAGAAATTATTATTTGTTAATTCAATACTGCCTTATAAATCATTTGAAACAAATAAATATTTTTTTTACATCAAATCAATATTATCAGTCATTTCCAATAAGGTAGTAGGTGAAATAAATATTTATTCGAATTCAATAAATTTCAAAAAATTCGCACACGTAATAATTTTTTTTTAAATTGCGATTAAAATGGAAACTTGTCCAAAAATTTTTCTAACCCTATTCGATTTTCTTTAAAAAAATTTTTAACATAATTTTTTCGAATGCAAAACATTCTGAACATAAAAAGTTTTGGAATTTTCGCAGCAAAAATGTAAAATTTTTACTAAAAAGTCATCTTCCAATCATCTCTTAAATTAACCATATATATCAAACCAATTAAAAAAATCTCTGGATTTTTTTTTTTTTTAAAGAACACCGCTTGCAACAAGCATCGAAAATTCGACGAAAATTCCGAGGATGGGGATCGCGGAAATCGCAGAGGAGATCACTCTCTCGAACAAAGTCGCGCATATGGGCCTCTCTCGCGGAAGCACCGCGGATGCACGCGTGCATGCATGCATGCATGCGTACGTACCTACGTACGCACGTCCAACATACACGCGGGTATACTTGAAACGCGTTCTTGGATGTAACGGCGGAGGAAAAAAAGGCACGTATACCTACTGCTCAGGAGACAGCCGAGGCATTGACCCGCGCGCGAGCGGTTAGTCACACACACATATATACATGCGTACATATACATATACAGGGTGTCCCATTTTAATGCCCCACCCTAAATAAGTTTTTTTATTTTTGATTGTAGAAAAAATGTTTCAGACAAAAATTGTATGATTTCGAGGAGGACGTAAGGTGGTGCCATTAGTTTGACAGTTGATCAATTTGACAGGTGAGGAGATCTTGTCTTATAACTCAAAAAGTACTTGAGATAAAAATGTTTTATTATAGTGTTTTGGAAAGCTCTCGATGTCTACAAGCTACAAGAATATGTAATGAAAAGTAGGTGGTTTCATTAAAAAAATTAAAGGTGACCTTTACATGGCCCTCAAGCAACTATTCAAAGTCAAACTAATGGCACCACCTTATGCCCTCCTCGAAACCATACAATTTTGTCTGAAACATTTTTTTCTACAATCAAAAATAAAAAACTTATTTGGGGTGGGACAGTAGAATGGGACACCCTGTATATATATATATACGATACACGTACATCGCGGCGCTTTAATAGCGTTAAACGGCGCGCACTCCCTTCATTTATATCTCTTCGCGGCTACCGCTGCGCCTCTAAAACAATTCTCGCCACTGTATCCGCCGCAGAATTCCGTAATGTACATTAACCCACCCTCTCCCCCGCCCACCCCCGCGGGCAACTTTTAGTTGTCTACGATAGGGAATACTACGATAAAATCCTTCCATCGTAAACGCGTTTGCGGACGAATTTTATATTCTTCGAATAATTTTCTTAATTTTCATTTTTAATTGTAAAATATAATAGTTGAGATAAAAAGAATATATTAAGGAAATTGATGAAAAATTAAAATTCTGATGTCAATTTCTTGAAATCAATTTCTGATGTCTGACTTGTTTTCTCATTTTGTGCATAGTTTTTGGATCAATAATTTTCATTTTTATTTTAATTGTAAAATAATAATTGAGATAAAAACAATATATTAAGGAAATTGATGAAAAATTAAAATTTATTTGATTAAAAACATTAATTGTGTACACAATCAATTTCTGATTACATAATTACATTACATAAATATAATGCAATTACATAATAATAATATAAGATTAAGTTATTATTGGAAAATGGAAAATTTGTGAGATTAAAGCTGCACAAGTGGAAAAGTTCCCTTTCTATTTATATATTTATTTTGTATTTAATAAGTAACTATTCTAAATTATTAAAATCGAAAAGACTTAAAATGTATGATACTATTTTTTAAATAGAAAAAGTTTTCATTTATGTTTTTTTAGAAAATATAGTTGTAATATTATGCTGACAATATAAATTTGACCTATTTTTGCCAATTAAATAACTTTCGACAGGATGTGACCAATAAAAATATTTCATTTTACACTATCCACTGAAAATGATCTTGAAGATGAAGTCATTATAATTTTGATATTAAATAAATAAAGCTTATTATATTATATTAAGATAAAGATTAAGTTTGATATTAAATAAATAAAGCTTATTATTATATTATATTAAGATAAAGATTAAGTTTCTAACTTTATTCCCTCATCATGCGCACTTTTTGTGATATAATTCTATACCAACAAGTGAGATGCGGAAAAACGCGACATTTTGGGCTATATTATTAGAGAGCGCGAGGTTTTTGGGCTTTAATTTTTCGCGCGAATTTTGGGCTATCTCAACGCGCTCTAGTGGCGGATTTTAGCACATTCTGGCAGCTCTGATTTAGACCGTTCATGTTCACGTGATTGACCGTTTCTTCGTTCACGTGATAGGACCAAAACAAAGCGAGACAATGATGCGTGTATATATATATAAAAGGAAAACAATGTCTCTTGTCTCGACCAGCACATTCCAACAGATACATGTCCAAACATCGTGCAAATTCGTGAAATATAATAATGATAATTCTAAACAAATAATGTACTATATGTTCTTTTCATATTTGTGTTAAATCATCAAATAATTTTGAAAATTTAATTCGGACTATAAAATAACGAATAGTATTTTCTAATTTAAATATTCTCATAACAACACAATGATGTACATCTT